CTTGTGGTCCGTCTCTAGCTCAAATTTACGACCATAAACATACAACTTGAATCTCTCACATGCCCACACCAACGCAAGACCTTCTTTCTCCGTTTGGGAATACCTCCTTTCGACGTCAGTGAGGTTCTTAGATGCATACGAAATTACTCTCCATGAATCACCCTGTAACTGTGTGAGAACCGCTCCAATCCCTGTAGGACCAGCATCAGCAATAATGCGTGTTTCACAATCGTTCTTGAAGTAAGCAAGCGTCTCGGCCTGAGTTAAAAGATCTTTCAATGTTGAAAAAGACTGCTATTGAGCTTTTCCCCATTCAAATTGTTGATTCTTTCTAGTTAATTTTCTGATTGGTTCTGCCACTTGTGCAAAATCAGGTAGGAACTTGGCACAGTACTGCACTAGGCCTAGGAAAGATCTAACTTCTGCAGCATTCTTTGGGGGTTTGGCATCTCTTACTGCTGCCACCTTCTCTTCGTTTGGCGAAACACCATCACAACTAAGATCATGACCAAAAAATGTCAACTTTGGAAGTCGAAACTGACACTTGTTTGCATTTAGGGTTAATCCACACTCCCGTAAACGATTAAGTACAGCTACCAAATTCTTGTCGTGCTCTTCAATTCCCCGTCCATGGATGATCAAGTCATCCGCAATGTTGGCAACTCCTTTGCAACCAACCAATCAATACATCCTTGACTATCTTCTGGTACATCTCGGGTGCTGAGGTTATTCCAAACATCAACCTCTTGTATCTATATAGTCCACTATGCGTTACAAATGTGGTGATACGACGCGATGACTCTTCGAGCTCGACTTGATGAAATCCCCATTTCAAATCTAATTTACTGTAGACTGTTGATCCATTTAATTCGTATAAGACTTCCTCTATAGTGGGGATTGGATGACGCTCCCTTTCAATAGCTTCGTTCGCTCGCCTCATATCGACACAAATACGAATATCACCGTCCGGTTTTGGTACGACAACAAGAGGTGATATCCAACCGGTAGGGCCACTTGGTACTTCTTCAATAAGATCTTCTTCTGATAACTCATTAAGCTTTTTGTCCACTTTTGCTCTGAGACCAAACGGTAATCTTCTTACTGGTTGTGCTACTGGTTTCACATCATCTTTAATGTGCAATTTCATCTGGAAATCCTTTAGTTTTCCCACTCCTGAGAAAATTTCTTTAAAATCATTCATAATATCTTTATCACTGCCTTCATATGCAACCGAGTAGACTTGTGGAGAACGTGGAGGTCCCACTCTAAGAACATTTAATTTCTCAGCTGTATTCTTTCCAAGTAAAACTTTTCCTGGACCTTCAACTACGGTAAACTCATCGACACAGCTTACCCTTGAATCTTTACAGAAAATATCGCTTTTGAATGTTCCCAAAACCTCAATTGAATCCGTTTGTCCATATGCGAACAATTTCTTTTCGCTTTTCTGAGATTCACACTTCACACCTTTTTGTTTCAGGTTTTCCCATGTTGCTCGATCCATTATATTGCAGGAAGCTCCAGAATCGATAAGGACATTATTTAACTCCACACCTCCAATGATAAGATCAACAACTCCACCTGTCTTTTCACCAGCAGGTTTAACTGCAAAAGCATAATTGTCCGTTTCTGGTTTCTGTTTCTCTTCCTCTACTTGATAAGCTCCATCTTGACGTTGTTTTCCATTTGAGGGTTTCTTTGGGGCTTTAGTACGACAAGAAACTGCAAAATGACCCACCAATCCACACTTTTTACATGTTTTACTTATTGCAGGACAGCTTTTATCTCGTCCGATGTGTCCTGTCATATTGCATCGATAACATTTCCTACCCTCTTTATGTTTTCCATCAGATGCACGGTCATCATATTTGGCACCATACTTTCCTTTCCCCCTTCGATTACCTTGGAATATTCCATGTACTTGATTTGTACCTGATCTATCCATAGATTGCATTTGTGTGTTTACAGTTTCGTGAACTCTAGCCGTGTCTTGAAGCACAGATAAAGTTACTGTACCTGTCTTTTCAAGAAACGTTCGACAAAGCTTTGGGTCTCTGCATTTTTCAATAATTTGATCACGAATTGCTTCATCTACATTGGTAAACTCGCATGAAATAGACTTTTGTCGAAGTCGACAAACAAACTGATCTATGGTTTCATTCTCTTTTTGCTGCATTTGTCGAAGCATTTACTTTAGGTGTAAAATATGCATCTAAAGCGTTCAAACATTCCTGAAGATTGTTATCTTCACTATCTGGCTTTAAAGTATAATACAGTTCTTGTAATTCCATTTCCTCCGGAGTGTAATAACAAAGCTTTGATTGAACTCGATTAAACATAAATAATTTACTGAACACGTATATTATATTTACTAAAACGCCAGCTTGGATTCCTAATCTTTTCTTATATACTTCATGTTACAACAATATAGTAAACACTACAGTCGTGCCCTCATTAGTATTTTTTATATAAATTAGTATTTCTATTGAATTTGTAGTCGTGTTTGAAGCAGTTTAATAAACTCGCGGGTCGTGTTTTATTAGGTCTAAAGCCACTCGCGCTGCGCGCTCGTGGCTTTAAACCTATAATAAAACACTCATGCTCGTTTATTAAACAGTACTTAATATATTATAATTATTTCATATATGCAGGGTGTCTAAAAAAAGTGACCTTTAGAAATCACCCTTTTGGTTAAAAGCGCGTTAATTATTATACACCCTGGATTTTAATTAAGGCCACATAAAATAAATTCCTTGAATCTCATCACTACACTTTGAAAATGTCGAAGAGGCGGGAGGTTTATATTTTATATTTTATATTTATATAATTTTATATATATCAATAAATAAAAGTGTCACAAACTGAAATAAACATATTTCTCCACGAACAATGACTGGCCCTTGAACTGAATGCAAAGTTCCGTTAAAATGCAATGAAATTTCTTTCAAGGTTCTATTTGTTTGAAATTGGCAGTTTAAAATGGCACTAAAAACCCAATATAAAATATAAAAAACTTAACTGTCTTGAAATATTTTGTCGGGCGGTACATTTATATTGTATAACAAAATATAAAAAAATTTCACGCGGCTCTTAAAATACAGTCGGGCGGTGATGAGAATCAAGGAATTTATTTTGTGGCCTAAATACTCCTTGCTCTGTAGTCAGTGACCATTTTTAATCGATCTGACGGGACTAATTTCTAAGTAATTTCTGTAGTTTTAATTAATATGTATATTTCTCCAATTTCTGTAGTTTTAATATGTATATAGGCTAGGTTATTTTGAGGCAATGAGGGGATATGTGATTTATTCACCGGGCGCGCAACGCCGAGGTGAATAAACACATATCCTCGAGGTACCTCAAAATAACGTACTTATTTTTCACATTGCGAGGTCGCGTTAATTAGCCGAATTCATATTAGAGACGGGAAACTCGTCTGCGAAAACCCGTCTGAGTATGAATTTAGGGACGGGTAAATTCGAATTTAAGACGAGTTTCCCGTCTAGACGAGATTCCCGTCTAACTTTCCCATCTGTTTAGACGGGTAAGTTAGACGGGAAAGTTCAGACGGGAAACTCGTCTGCGCCCGGATTCATATTAGACGAGTTTCCCGTCTGAGACGAGTTTCCCGTCTGAGACGAGTTTCCCGTCTAAGACGAGTTTCCCGTCTCTAATATGAATTCGGCTAATTTGAGTACTATGAGTCAGAATCAGAGAGTCAGAATAGAAATAATTCGTAATGCCATACTGCCTTCGATATGTTGTTTTTTCCCCTCATTTTTTGTGCTGCAAAGACATTGCAGGTGAATATTAGAGGGGATTATTAAACGGAAATTGATTAGAGGGGAATATTGAATATATTCCCCGATAAGCACAAAGGAAACCGAGCAAGGCGAAAAATAAGCTCGTATACTGTTACGATTACAATGCATTCTAAACTCCCAGAGGGCAGAGGTAATGAAGTTTGGGTCGGTGTTTACAACAAAAGGGTGATTTCTAAAGGGTCACTTTTTTTTATACATCCTGTATGTACTTTGATCCGTTGAAAGCCTCTTTCTCAATCTGTTCCATTCTTTGTTTTTCAAACCAAATCGTTTTTAATCAAACTGTGAGATTATTAAGAATTCTAGCTCGTACTGTGCAAATTCCCTATGACGTTAAACTTAATAATATGAATGTTGCTGTGAAAACGTAAGCCCTAAATTAAATGAACTACTCGAGGCTTTCAACAAATGCACTATAGGCAACATGAACATTTCACACTAATTATAACTTACGTACAAGACCAATTCTGCCAACTTATATTAATAATGACCTCCCATTTAATTCGCCTATAGACCACAGAATAAAGATCGGTAACAGAAGGGCCCGCTCAGCGTTGCAACGCGTCCTCGTTTTTTATGCAAAAATATGCAGTTTGCTGGCCAGAAGGCGGAGTAGCCAGCCAGTACAGCGTGTTTATTGGCCAGAAAATGTCATTGACTGGCTAGGAAAATCCGACTGAAAATGGCGGCCAACATGCGTAAAGCCGTAATGCGACATGCGCGAGGACATGCAGAAACTTCAAAGCTTCCGACGTAAGTGGCCCTTCGGTGCTAAGACTATATATACATGCAGTGTACTCCTATTGAAACTGATTTGGTTTTCAATAAATCCAATAATTTTGTAATTCTGCGCACGACTAAATCCAAAAATTACCTAACATTCTTGCGTAACTTATCATCAACATTCTTATCAACAAGACAAACATTCTTTAGTAACTTATCTACTCGAACATGTTGCTGAATTTACTATTATGAATGAACAACGTGTATAGGCCATTGGCATTGTTTGTAAATTAAATCAGTACTATATTTGTTTGCATGTTTGTCGACATGTTTGTTTTCTGGTGTTTTCTGTTTGCATATATTGCAGATTGTTTGTGAATTTGTTGTTCAATTTTCCCCGGCGCTAATATTGCCGCTCTTTGACACTTTGTTTTCTTCATGTTTGTTTTGTCTGTTTTTTAATTGGAATTTTTTTACGTATGTCTTACCTTTCAATGTTTTGGAAGATGTGTTTGGAATCCCGCGGTTATTGGAGAATGTTTCTCTGTGTGCATGTCGTTCAAGCCATCCAGTATAATTTGAGTTTGAATTGTATGTTATGCATGAATTGTATTTATATGTCTATCATTATCATATGGCCAAACTTGTAAAATAAATAAATATTGCCTAACATCATATAAACCACAACTTAACACAGCCATTGATGGCGGTCTGCGCCAGTGTAGGTAGTGCCAATAATAACAAAAAAAAAATCGTCTGGTTGATATCTAACTCGTAAGGCCCGCTAGCGGTCTTGGATAATCCTTTAAAGCATTTGTATTTCATTCTGTCTTTCTTTTCAAACTTTTCTCAATTTGTCTGCTGCCGTGTTTTTTATAACACCCCGCTGACAGAATATCACAATGAAATTTGTTCATGCCTTGCGGCTTAGTAGCTTAGCTTAGCTTAGCTTAGCTTAGCTTAGCTTAGCTTAGCTTAGCTTACTAGCTGAGCGAAACAATGTCTCTCCGTTGCAATAATTTCTCTGAAAATAGAATTCCTAAAAGGTACGGAATACTACGGATAGGTTTTGTTTCAAGGCTAATTTCCACTCCGGAAAATAAGCAGCGGATCGGACCGGACCGGATTGGAACAAAACAAAATGCGCGCATGCGCTATCAGTAGAAATTTTTGGTTTTTATTCAGTTTATTTATTAACACTTTGCCTTAAATTATCGACTGGAAACCGCAACAGCCTAGGCCAATTACTGCGGAACCATTACATGATAAATAGATCTATGATAAATATATGAAGACCATGTGCGGCCGGAAACGTTGCAGAGACCTTTGTGCTGATATAAGTTAGACTTTTTCAACTCCATTTCAACAGTAAACAGCTATAGTAAACAACACAAAGACAGGTCCGATTGATCCGGCGACGTTGCTGGCCGGATAATAAAAAGTTGAAATATTTTCAACTTTTTTTGGTCCGGTCCGCGGATTAAACCTGGCGACCATCAAAATGCCGTATTATCTCACATAAATTAAAATAATTATATTCCATTTTTCCCTTTTCCGATTCGATCATTCCACTTGTTCTTTTAAGGCTAATTTCCACTCCGGTTAATAAGCAGCGGATCGGACGGGATTGGAGTTTTTTCCGATTCGGTCCAATCCAGCAAGCGATTTCCAGTAAAAGGACAAGTGGAATGATCGGATCGGAAAAGGAAAAAAATGGAGCTCGTTCCAGTCTCACAAATTACTATTTCGCGCTTATTTCAAAACGGCAGCGGCTCTGAACAAGCGTGTCCTTCATCTGATTGGGTTACGTCGTCGCCAGCGAAGGAGAAGCAAACGAGAAAAATACAAAAAGAGCATTTGGATAAGAAAAATTTTCCAGGAAAGACAATGGAAAAGTAAATACCACTTATTGATAGAAGAGTTAAAGCTACCATGAATATTATTTTTAGCAATTTTGTACGTATGTTGCCAAGGCAAATTAATTTAAAGAGCTGCTGTACCCTCCAATTCTTGTAAATTCTCCCTCGAATTCTCCAAGAAAGCTCCTAAATTATCCTCCATTTTCACATTTTGTACATTTTATATTAGGTATAGGTATTATTAGGTATAGGTATTATTTAATTATTTTAATTTATGTGAGATAATACGGCATTTTGATAGGTCGCCAGGTTTAATCCGCGGACCGGGCCAAAAAAACTTGAAAATATTTGAAATTTTTATTATCCGGCCAGCAACGTCGCCGGATCAATCGGAACAAAAAATTTCTACTGATGGCGCATGCGCGGATTTTGTTTTGTTCGCTGCTTATTTTCCGGGGTGGAAATTAGCCTTCACGTCGCTACGGAAAGCTATCGCCTATCCGGCACACAGGACGCGATTCGACAACGCGGCGCGACAACTGTCATGCCTCGTGGTGATGACCCCCAAAGCATCATGAGTCATACACCACACAAAGTGCTCTTTGCCTTCGTGATAAATGTTGTTCAGATTGCATTTTTGCCTGAATGGCCTTTGCATTTATTTTTCCTCCCCCCCCCCGTCGCCAACATTTCCGGGTAAAATTTTTTAGGTGCCCTTTTCATTCTAAAAGTGCCCCTCGAAACCGCCCCCCCCCCCCAAACGTTTTGACGCTTCCTACGCCCCTGACGGAGAATGTTGATTATTGGCAACCTCGTTCCCAGGCTCTTTCCTGGATTATTGGCTGGATATCAATACATTTACTTATTTCTTTATAATTATTAGAT